CCCCCCCCCCCAAAAAAAAGGCAGGTTGAAACCCTGCTGCCCACACAGCCCACTTTCAAGGTGGGCTGAATGCGCATGGCCTGACTGCATGGCACAGGATTAAGTTGCATAATTTTTTTGTTGCCTCCTCACCATACATGTGCATTGTCTCATAAACACACCACTTGCGACCTCCAGTTACTTCCCATGTCCTGCCCAGATGCCTTCCCATTGCATGGCCATCCCTTTGATCTGCCACACAGTCACAGGTATGATGTTCTGCCAGTACAGGGCATTGGTTCATCTGTTTGCGAGTGATAAATTGGCAAACCACAATCATGGAGACCCCCCTATTTATTTATTTTTTATTTATTTAATTTCTAGGTTGTCTATTTCCTGGTAAGGGACCCAAGGAGGCTTACAAGATGAAAACATCTCGTAAAAACAAAACTTCACAATAAACATTTAAATAATTAAAATCCTCTAAGACAATATAAAATTCACATTAGACGTATCAAGTTAAAAACCACTAAAATACATGCACTATATAAACCACCTCTTTTGATAACACGTTAAAAAGCTTGCTTGAATGAAAATGCTTTTGCTTGCCAGCAAAAGGCAAGCAGGGAGGGAGCCAGCCTTGCTTCTTGTGGAAGGGCATTCCAGAGGCTGGTAGTAGCCACCAGGAAGGCTCTCTCTCCAGTGTGTTCACCAAACAAGCCTGTGATGGTGGCAGGACCGAGAATCATAGATTCATAGAGTTGGAAGAGACCACAAGGGCCATCCAGTCCAACCCCCTGCCAGACAGGAACTCCCAATCAAAGCATCCCTGACAGATGGCCATCCAGCCTCTGCTTAAAGACCTCCAAGGAAGGAAACTCCACTACTCTCCGAGGGAGTGTGTTCCACTGTCGAACCGCCCTTACTGTCAGGAAGTTCCTCCTAATGTTGATCTGGAGTCTCTTTTCCTGGAGTTTGCATCCGTTGTTTCGGGTCCTAGTCTCTGGAGCAGCAGAAAACAAGCTTGTTCCCTCCTCAATATGACATCCCTTCAAATATTTAAACATGGCTATCATATCACCTCTTAACCTCCTCTTCTCCAGGCTAAACATTCCCAGCTCCCTAAGTCGTTCCTCATAAGGCTTAGTTTCCAGACCCTTCACCATTTTAGTTGCCCTCCTTTGGACACGCTCCCGTTTCTCCACATCATTTTTGAATTGTGGTGCCCAGAAGAGAGAAAGTCTTCCCCTGAAGATCTTAGGGCTCTAGCTGGTTTGTATGAGGAGATATGGTCTTTCAAATAGTTTGGACCTAAGCCGTGTCCTATATGCCCCCTTCACTTCCCTTCACTCATGGCCCTGTGTTGGACTGTCAAGTTCAGGGGTCGGCATATCTTTTGGGGGTGGGGCTAGTTTCGCTGTCCCCTATTCCCCGAAGGCGGGAAAATGGCGCCGGAGATGCGCGCTCACACACGCATGTGCACTACTCCTACCATCGTGCGCATGTATGCACGAGCGCAGGGTGCCATTTTTGCATTCCAAAATGGCGCCTGCCATCGTGCGCATGCGAGCACGGGGCGCCATTCTGCATTCCAAAATTATGCTTGTGCACGCATGCGCACGACAGCAGGCGCCATTTTGGAATGCAAAATGGTGCCATGCATTGCGAACACATGCACACGACACCGGTGCTGTTTTGAGTCCCAAAATGGTACCCGTCGCCATGTGCATGCGTGCGTAAGTGCCATTTTGGAACGATGCCAAACAGGGAGTGCCAAAATGGCACTCCCTGTTGCGCGCACGGCAACGATGACAGTGACGACGTCAGGACTGGCCACGGGCCAGTTACAAGGCCTTGATGGGCCAGGTTCGGCCCACGGGCCGTAGTTTGCCAGCCACTGGTCAAGTTCGTGTACATTGTAATCACATCCATCGTAGTTGTCACACTTTCATTTCTTTGTTTTATCACAGCCCCACACTCGCATCAGGGCATTTATATGCAGGCACGAAGATGCACATTTTCTGCTTTAAGTTGGACTATCTCAGCTTCTTTTTGCTCCAGTTTTTAGCTCCGGAGCGCAGCTTCAGTCCAGTTTCCAGCCACTTTTGAGGGCTATGTCATTTAAACATTTTGCCTTCAAAGCAGCTGGAAACTACATTATTTTGCCTGTCTGTTTTACCCCCTTAAACAAATATGCTCAGATAAACTTCTTAGGATATAAACACTTCTGAATACTTTTCAGATAAATTAAGTCAAAATTGATGGTAACAATTTATCCAAAGCTTGCCAGGGTCACTGGAAGGTGTTAAATTTGTATTAAACTAGGCTAGGCTTTTGAGACACCCCTGTGTAGTATGACCAATGGTCAAGAAGTATGAGAACTGCAGTCTAAAATATTTGGAGGGTGCTTGGTTGCCTGTCTCCACTGCATCATATGTATGTGCATTCAACTTGCCTGTCTACTTGTGGCAACCTCATGGATTGCATAGAGCTTAATCCATGTTAGGTTATAGTTAGGCCAAGCTGGTATGCAGTAAGGTTACCCTGTCAATGGAGCCTCTTTCCCTGAAACCCTCATTCATGGCTACAGGGAAGCTGTCCCCTTGAGACTGGTAAGCAGTGATGACATCCATTTTACTAGTGACTCAAGTGGACCGGAGAAAAATATCATATCTTATTTAAAATATTTTAATTCCTCTTTTCAGCCATAGTATGTTCCCAACCTAAGCAACAGTAGACCAACAGTAGTCTCTCTCAAACTGTGCCAGTGAAGTGGCTCTGCTTTTTATTTTTTAGTCTAATTATTGCTGCATGATAATTGGGGAGGCAAAGGTCGATGAAGCTTAACAGAACTTATATTGACCTTTTTTTCTTCTTTCTCTCTGACTGCTTACTATAGCTCATTGGCAGAGCAGGTATGTGGCACACAAAGTCTTAGATGCAACTTCCAGCATTTCCAGAGACCCATAGGAATGATCCCTGTCTGAGAGAGGGAAAACCAGCTGCTAAGCATTATACATATCAAGCTAGGTGGCATAGTAGTTTGAGTATTGGACTATGACCTTGAAGTCCAGGGTTCAATTCCCTGTTTGGCCATGGAAACCCACAAATCACACTCTCTCAGTCTTGGGGGAAGGCAATGGCAAAGCTCCTCTGAACAAATCTTGTCAAGAAAACTCCGTGATAGGTTTGCTTTAAGGTCAACATAAGTTGGAAATGACTTGAAAGCAACAATAACAAAAGTGTACTATTGGTAGGATCCCTGGTATAAGCAACTTATTATCCTGGGAGGTATCACTGAGATCTGAGAATTGACTTCTGATGAATTGCTGTTCATCAGAAGGGTGCAGCTGTCTATGCAATGTTACTCATTTTATCCAACATTCTTGCTTATATTTATTGAAGCATTTTGTTTTATATGTCTGTCACACAGAAAGTTGCTCATATAAGACTCCAAAGAGAACACGAGCAAACAAGTCACGCTTGCCAGCATTCAGTTCTCCTGCAAATGAAGCTGATGTACAGCAAGAAATTTTCTGGGATCCTCAGTCACCAGTTGTGCATAAGCTAGGTAAATACTATTTGTAATTGTCTTCATATAAACTTTTCCTTTCAAAAGAGTGTTACCCAAACTTCTAGGTGTTTTGGACTTCAGCTTCCAGAAGCCTTAGCTAGTTTGACCAACTATCAGGAATTCTGGGAGCTGAAGTCCAAAACTTCTGGAGGGCTAAAGTTTGGGAATTGCTGCTTTAAGATGTAATCTATCATTTGAAATGTGCAGTAAAAGCACTCAACTTTTGGGGTTCAGGATATCTGAAGGATAACCTGAATGCCTCCATCTTTTGTGGAGGGATGGATGGCTTCTAGTATTGAGTCACCTTTGCAGTGGTGCCCTAATGCAAAATGCACTTCCTAGATTGATTTTCGTAGAATTTACTGGTTTGTTTTTCTAAATGAAAACCATTTTCTTTGTCTGGAATCCTGTAGATCTCTTGAGTTGCTTTAATTCCTTGTCCAGGTGGCAGTAGCTGTTGCTTTTCTTCCAGGTACCCAAAGGCAAGTAAACAAATTCTATATGCATCCAATGCCTGGTCAGTGGCTGGGAGGATGAGCAAAACTGTAACCAGACGTCTCTGGCTGCCGAAGAAGAAACTGCTCCTGGACCAACACTATAGTGATGCTGGTGGAGAGTTACGCTCCACCAATGTAACTATTGTCTCAGCCTCTTTTTCCAAGCATTTTCAGGATATTTAAATTTAGTTATATTAATTCTGTTTTTTGTCCACAATTTCTAATTTAACTGGATTGTTATGTATATATTTTTTGAAAAAATGTAAGTTAGTTGCCCTGGTGATCTTGCAACTGAATGAAAGGAGAAGAAATATTAAACAAATGTCCCCTATGAATATCTATTCTGTAGTGAGTGTTAAGATTTCCACTAGATACTAGGAGTTCTGTTACAAAGCAAATGCTATTTATAATAATTTGTAGGGTTGATTGGCTTCTGTGATTGGAGAATTCTCATTCTTACAGTGCTGATGAATTGCCAAATATGTTTTCTTTTTCAGGCAGTGAACAAAAAAGACAAACAGTTAATGGACATATGGTTGAAATCTCAGAAATTGTTAATCGGATCGCTCCTCAGGTAATTTATTACTTCTTAAAGTAAAGCTGTAGTGTCTTCACACAGGTTTTCATTCGTTAAAACAGCCTGCTTTAAAAGAATGCAGGGGGAAAACTAGCAAAATATATTCTCTTAATGTTGCTTGATGAAACTTAATAATACTTAATACAAATTAAACATATTTGTATAGCTTTAGATAGCCAACATGTTTGTATACTTTCAACTCATTACTTTTAACAATCTCTTAGTTTTACGAGATGTCACTGGAACTTGCTGCATTTTGTTGCAGTGTGTCTTCTCACCTAATAATAATAATAATAATAATAATAAATTTATTCATATCCCGCCCCTCTGCAGAGCAATTGGGGTGGCTGACAACATTAAATTTCCATACAGATATATTAATACAATCTAAACAGAACATAAAAATCCCAAATCCCACCCGTCCTTTAAGAAGTAAGGGTTCTTCTTATTCCAGGCCGGATGGTGCTGGGCCTAATGTGTCTCTTCCCCCAGATGACATCGGATGCAATGGAGGGAGGGCTCTTCTTCTTATTCCAGGCCGGATGAGTGCTAATTTGAGTGCTCCTTCTCAGGCCCCCAAGCTTTCCTACCCATTTTTCATAATCTGTTTCTTTTTTTCTAACTAACACTTGCTGTTCTTTGGCTGATTAAACATACTTAGTCTTCGCTGAACTGAGTGTATGTTTGTTACTGTTTTAATCAACTTCTGCAAACCTGTTTAGATTCCCCTCTTGTTTCTTCAGTCCTGTTGGCGTTCCGAATCGGAGCTAGAAGGAAGACTACCAATCCTGCTTGGAAAACTCAATTTGTTATTGTTTTGACTACACATTCTGTAATGTTATTGTTTTTACACAGATCTGTTCTTCAGAGAATATGGATAATTATGCTTCCTCATGTTTGATACTGTGACTTAGTGCTAAAAGCCAGGCTGTCTTACTTCCAGGCAAGCATCCATATGACTGCACTAGTATTCACAATCCATTTTTAAAATTGAGCCATACATATTTTTAAATGTTACTTTACCTTCTATAACTTGCCTCACTTTGCTGCTTCATATGTTCTTATTTCGAAAAGCCACTGGTTGGTTTTGGTCTTTAATTGTTGTCTGTATCTTTGATGTTATTATTCATGGCTGTTTTTCTTCCCCTATTTGGCTATAATAACTGCTTTGAATTTGACAGAAGAGCAAAGCAAATATATTCTTGTTGGAGTATAGTTTTGAAAGCTGGAAAACCTGGTACATTGACAGATGTGCACACTCTTGATAGCATATGTGATGTTGACATATTTGATTCTAGGATGAAAAACCTGCCTGTTATGAAGGAAATCTTCTTGGATTTTGGATTGGTGATGATGCAATTCCTTGTACTCCTGCAATTACAAAAGTACGATCAAGAACAAAGGTAGATGGTGCCAGGTATGCTGAGACTTCTTTCATTTTATAAAGATTGTGAAATGATTTTTTCCAGAATTATTAGTAGCTTCCCAAAACGTGGAGGCCTGGTTTGCCTTGTTGGGTGGCGAGGTGTGGAAGAGAGATTGTTGGAGCTTTTATCCAATGGCTTCACCAAGATTGCTTTGTTAGAGATCCACTCTGTTTCCTCTTAGTCTGCTTTTAGACAGTTAATGATTTTTTTTTGTTACAGTAAAGTTTTAGGCTATAAATGTGGACTGTTAGTTTATAATTCAAGGATAGGCAACTTGTAGATCTCCAGATGTTGGACTGGAACTTGCATCAATCCTAACCAGCGTAGTCAGCAGTGAAGTATGTTGAGAGCTGCAGTCCAAGAGCATCTGGAGAGCCACAAAATGCCTATTTTTCCCTCCTTTTCGGATTACTCATTTATAATTTTGTCAACACCCTAGTTTTTTTATTTGCAGTCCTTTTATTTCTAAGCTGCTTTGGATATTTCTTGTGGGGAAATAGGATAAAAGTAATCTGAAGAACTCTTTAAATTGTAAACGGTAAAAGCTTGCTGTACTTGAATTCTGCTCTGAAAACAACAGGCATGGTTTCCTGTGCCTTTAAAGCAAGTAAACCATTTCCAACAACCTTGAGAACTGACACATGCATTTGTAATTGTGCTTGTTCATGTAGAGGTCGTCAGTTGAAACACAGAGAAGAAGAGCTTCTGAAACTGGCAAAGCAGTTTGATAAAAACCTGACAGATGCAATCCAAGATCAAGATACTTCATGCCACAATATTGCCCACACTATACTAGAAACCGTGAGGTCCACTGAACATGAAGATGAGACTAAGGAGGGAAAAAAGCATCTGTCCCTTGAAGAATATGCTAAAGTTAACACTACCTTGCCCTTTGGGCCTGTTGATGGGAGTACCAAGGCCCTTGAATCCTGTGAAGACAGTAGGCAGGAACCCCTAGATCTTGATGCTGAAACAGCACTTCATGAACTGTTTGATTGCCCCACCCAGAAATGTAGCGGTCGGCTGAGCCAAGGTCTGTCAGATTGTTCCTCAAACTCTAGTATCCATGAAAACCAGAGCATGCTGCTGGAGGATGTCACAGCTGCTGGTAAACATGAGATTGGAGAAGCACCTCTAAGGGAAGGCTCAGCAGTGCCAGTGACGGAATGCATGGTATCTGTCCCCACACAAAAAGCGGAAGAGGCTTCTGGACAAACAGCTCCAAAAGTAGACTCCTGTAAGACTGGATCAGTTGTCTCCAGTACAGTGGACCAAGTCATCAATGAGGACTTTGATGACTGGGGAGATGATTCCTTTTTAATGCAAATTACTCAAAACCCTGAGCTGATAAATACTCCTGAAACTGCTTTACCTCATGCTTCCAATAGAAATAGTGAACAAAAGGAAAAACCTGTAATTTCTGTTCGTGGTGCACTGTTTAATTCCTTTAAGAATGATCCCACATCATCTGATTTACAGAAACAAAGCATTGCCACTGGAAATACAATGACAATGCTTCCACATAATATCACTATAAAAGCTGAGAAATCCATTTCAGTCAGTGGACATCACAAAAGTTCTTGCTATAATCCTATTCCAGTGAAATCAGAAAGCAAGAGCAGACAGGGGGGCTTTACTCAACTCAAATGTCCTGCCAGTAGTCATTTTCCTGACAAAAGAGCTTCTTTCCCCCCTGATCGTTCTGATCTGCCTAAACCACAGCTGGAAAAATATGGAAGCAGCATGCCCAATATGGGTCATCAGAGGGACTTGCCCAAGAACACTGTGTTTTCATTTGGGCCCAAGTGCTCGGAAGAGGTTTTAGACTTGTTTTCTGAATCCGATAGTCTTTGGGGCACAAACGGTGATGAGGATGATGATTTGCTTTATCAAGTCTGTGACGATGTAGAGAAAACCACTGCAAGCCACGAGGTGGTGAAAGAGAATGAAAAATCGTTAGGAAGTCTTTCCAAATTGGAGGTGGGTCCGTGTCTCACAGTAGCAAATCAGGGGATTTCTAA